ATATCAATATAGCGTCGTTACAGGTCGAATACGCGGTCATCATTCAGTTAGCGAACATTGAAAATAACAACCTACCAATCTGATACTAGAGTGTTTCAAGCTCTAATTGAACAACATCGATCGACAAACAATAGTGAAGGATTCAAAATATGTAGGTCCAGTAAAAATGACTCTATAATTTTTGCTTTAAATTGAAGATTTTATTTAGCAAGAATGATCCGACTTAGCTCAAATATGTACCGTTTTGTTCGATAACTTTTTTAAAGGTAATTTCCTAATGCCACTGGGTATGTATGAACCCTAATTTCTAATAACAAAAAAAAAAATTGACTCTAAAGCAATCCGTAAACTGTCTGAAAAGCTTTTAGTAGTTTAGCGATCGCACTTATACAAAGCGAGATACAGATTACTAAAGACGCTTTTACTCTTGCTAGGCAGTTGAGTGCGAGATATGAATTGAGAGAAGGATAGAAAGAGAGAGAAAAAAAGGAGAGAGTGTGAAAGAGATACTTGTATAGTGTGAGAAAATGGTAAAATATTATTTCTCCTACTTTGCTAGACATTTCAATATAAATGCTAACGGAATTCGCCACCTTTACTAAACCTATTCCGCTAGACGCTGCTTCATATAAATACTTCTGTCATGTTTCCGCAGTTTAAGAAAGTTATAGTATATTATGCTCATAAAGGTAGCGGGATAACATATGTATATGTGGCACTACTGCAGGAGCCGACTTGCTTAGCCAAACAGAATTATATATGTATAATGTTAGCTTCTGGCGGAACAATGAATCCCAGTCTTGCATGTGTGCACCAAACTATAACATAAATAAATAGATTGTATACGTTTATTTTCTTAAGCAGTCACGCTTGTGGGCATGTGCGAGTCCGCTTGAATAGCTAGAAATGCCTGAACAGCCGCAGGAGTGCAAATATTTCGTTTCGCCGCGTGCAAACTTTTCTGGCATCCACCATATTTATGAATGTTGTGGCGCGGAGGTGCGCTTATGTCGCAAACCAAACCAAGCGTTTCATTTTTAGTCTGCTTTTGGGTTTATACTTTAGTTTAGCGTACGCTACATGCCGAGATTATAACTAATTTTAAAGTGCATTATAAATTCCTGGTGTTTTGACGTTGATAGCCCAAGGCGTCAGAGCACTGAGTAAGACGAGTGCGTCAAGGAAAGCATAAATTAACGTTTTTGCGGAAATCCTTACATATAAAGTATGAAGACTATGTGAAGCTTGAAGTTGAATTCATATTTCATAAGCACGAGTTTATTTTTCACGGTCGATTTTAAGCTTTTAGTTTATGGTTCCGTTGATTCCGAATGAACCTAACACATCTTGGTAGACTAAAGCTTTTGGAGCGATGGTATTATCGTCCAGTTCTGTCTTTAAGTGTAGTTTGAAATTCTAGTTCGTTTAAAAATGCAGTGTGTTAATATAATTTTTTTTTAGTCGGACATTTAGCATATGGCCTTCCGGCATATTAAATTATTCAGAGCCTTAAAACGAAGGGTAAGCAAATCTTACGATAAAATTTGGTTTTGGATAGATTGAATCTTTTTGGACCATGTGGCTCATGTAAATATTAGATATTTTTACTAGATCTTTTGCTAAACAGTCTCTTTCGCTGTTTTTAATCAAAAAGAATACCAGTTGCAGAAGCTGCTTTAAAGAAAACTAGGTAAGAAAAACCGCAAAACTTAATTTCTTTAGTTCTTTTACAGACCACAAAAATAAGTGATCATAAATAGTTCAAATGCAATCATCTCTAGGTAAGAGTCATATAAGCTGAACTAATCTAAGCATGTTTTAAAACAAACATCATTGAAGCATGATGCAAGAAACTACCCGAATAAACTACCCGAAATATATTTCAAGTGCAAAATACATTCTTCTAACACATATGCATTTTATTTAATTTTTCCTTTCTTCTTCCTTTATTTTTCAGCTTGTCTCCATTTTTCTTTAATTTCCTCAGCTTCCAAGTATTTTTTTTCCTAAACACTGCCGATTTTGCTACTTTTATGCTTAGTTTATGCTGTTACAGTTTTTTGCTGCTCCTTTCGCCATCATTCGCTGTCTTGCACTCATAAATATTTTAGTTGTGTAGTGCAACATTTTTGGCGAAAGTCAGCTCGCGTACTGGTACTTCTCAATTTTTGTCGTTGTTCCGTTGTTGCTGTGTGTTAAGTGGCTAACTGCGGTGGCTGCGTCCATTGCATCCGTTGCCACGGTTTTGCTTTGTTGCTGCGCTGCTGTTGCCGCAAAAACGTTGATAAATGCATTTTTCATGCAACGTTTAGCGTAACGAGCTATAAAGCGCACGCGAGCGCGAGTGAAGGAACGTATACGGAAAAATTTAATAGCGCTGTGTATGTGTTTGCGTGTAAACGCAAGAATGCATGTAATAAAATAAAAATAATAATAATGAACTTATTATTGCTCATGTACTTTGTATTATTAACGCGTATGAGCCAACCAAGTTCAAGTAAATAAGTAAATAGATAAAGTGCATATAACTTGATGCTGTCAACGCGATTGTAAAATTTCGAGTCATTCATTTGTAGCGAATGTTTGACTGAAGATAGATGAAATAAGTAATTATAAGAAGCTAAATTATAATTTTGTCTATACTTGTCAATCTTTAAACAGAACCTTGACTTCACGGTAGATCTAAGCTGCTGTATCATCTTGATAGTCAAACGTTGTTATTTGGTGGCCACTGTACGACTTAAATATAATAGAAATATATGAGTGTTCTAAGCTTCCGTGTTTTTGGATGTATGTAATCTAAAACCAAGCCAGATTTGTTAGCAGATAATTGTACTTTACTTTCACTTTGGAAACGTCAAAACAGGCACGACATGTTTATTTACCGACATAAAAGCACACCCTGTGTAAATGGAGAAAATTTTCGAATTTCGTTCGATGCCAGAGCTGGGTTACACTGGCGCGCAGCCAAACTAATTTGAAGCCAGAAATATTTATAATTGGAAAAACTGGCCTTGGTTTATTTGATATATTTAGTGCAAATGGAAATGAGTTAGCATTTTTGAGGCAATAATATTTTTTTTTTTGAGTTTATAATACTTATACACAAATTACAAAAGGGATTTGGCAATTTGCCCACTTTTTGATTTTTTCATTAACTGAAACGATATGACTCCATAACAGTGGCGGCCAAAGTTAAGAGCTCATAAAGTGCACAGGGTTGTTTTGAATTAACTGAGTTTCTGGTTAAAAAACTAAATTCTAAATTTCTAGTTGAGAAACTAAATGCTGCTGCAGATTTAAAGTCGAGTGAAATTACAACATAAGTGTGTCAGAAACAGACTCTAAAGTGGAGGTGGAGGTTGCATGGAGCCATATTGTGTGGAAGCCGAAGTTTTGACACGGCCATTGAATTGAAGCGGACACAATGCAAACCATGAGGGAACTGCGTGTGAATAGAAAATCACACATACATTACCATAAAGATACCGTTATATATATAAAACTGTGTACATTGTATTTACAACGAGTGGTTGCGTTGAGTTGACTTGATGCACAAAAGCCAATTAGAATGACACATAAGTCAGATCGACAGATAGTAGTTTTATGCGCTTCTCACTTTTGGCTTCGGCAAAAGTTCAAAGTGAAAAGTTTTCATTTTAATTTTCATAGTTTTCACATTTGTTTGATGTGCGAAACTTTCGAAAGCAAGGTAAGTGGAACATGAGGGGCGACAGCACAGCTAAGTGAAATAGACTATAATCGCCGCTTATTGTGGTTGGCAATGATTCTGTGGTGTGCCACTAATATTGAGGATGAAATTTTTACTAGAAAAGTTTTACCAAATTACGCCTTTCACATATAATTTAACTTGACACTGAGGAAAGTTGAAAAGTTTGACAACGAGTGGTGAAGGAATTAAATTTAACGACACTTTACAAAGCTTCATTTAAGGAAATGATAATAATTGTTGTTTAAGATTGGAGGCAGAATGTAAAAATTTAAATGGATAGGTTATCGTTAACTGAGCATGTGTCAGAGTCTCTCAGTGAATTATTAAACGGTTCTCTCTTAAGTTATTGGAGCTATCAAAGCATTTTGGTAGTTTTCGATGAGGTAAATACATTCATTTTATGAGAGTTTTATGGGCATTTAAGAGATATTGGAATGTTTGAAAACTGTATGACTGAATGAATTGCAAAAAGAGACGCACTCGCACTCCGTCAGTTTCAAGCGCCTTCAGTTGATTTTAGACTTTTGAAGAAGTTTTCGTTATTTATGTCCTTAAAAGTCCTCAGTAAAATACTTACTCCTTGAACAATAAATTCAATAAACTGCAACTTTTTTAATATCATCTTTTATTTATTATATAATAGTATTGATATATTTCGAATATATTTTGGACAAATGCCTTACAATCTGTACCTTAATAATTATTAGTTTTTTTTTACAATTTTTTACATTGTTATAAAGGCCAAAAATATGTTTAATCTTATCTTAGAATATATTTTGTAATCAAATGTGTACGTAAATGCATTTTATTTTTTAATAAAATAAATTCTTTTTCTTCAACAAGGTTTTTTTATCAATAAATTCCGGGTTTCATTTATATTCTCGTCTACACAGAATATATATTTTTTTATTACAATCTGATTATTGTGTTAACATTTATCAAATTCGAAAAAGTTTTCCTTCAGCAAATTTTTCAATTACAAAGTTTGTGTATTAGGAAATTAAAACGCACTGTAGTAAAAGCTTTTAACTACAGATTACGATTCGAAAAGTTTTTGGGTTTTGGAGTTCAATATTTTTTTAACATTAAATATATTTCTTTATTTTTTATTTTTTATATATTACATTTCATATTTCATATTTTATATTTTATATTTTTTATTTTTGTGTTTTATACTTTTAAATTTGTATATATTGTATTTGTTTTTTTTTTAAGAAATATACATATATTCATTTAAAGGTTATCATATATTCAAAAGAATAAGTTCCACATACTCAATAGGCCGAATAAGTAAGATTTTATAGATGTTTTTGTTTTTAAATAAGTTATAATTTTTAAAATTCAATAAAAATTTAATTTTTTTGAAATTTAGTTTATTTTCTCAGTCTTAATTAAAAATTTGCGATATTGACCAAAAAGGTTTGTTGATTTATGTTAAAAAATTTTGGACTGACAACATTTAAGGGATATGACATAAAGTATTAGTAGTGTTGAATACTTTTAGGGAAATTTGTGGCCAAAAGTTACCAACAATTGTTCGGGAGTCGGTGCTTTTACTAGGGAACGTCAAAAATATTCTATGTTTTCATTATGTGTTGAAGTTTTCATTATTATGTAGAACTTTGTTCTAGAGTTACTTAACTTTTTAGTAATTTGCTTTATTTCCTGTATATATTAATATTATTTTCTCATAGTTTTATTGGGTGAAAGTTACTAAAGTTTTGGAATAAAATAGTATATTTTGCATGATTCATAATTATTAATAAATAATTTATTATCTCATGCCGGCAGTAGAATTATATAATTTTTCACAACAAATTCATTTCACAAATTTCCACAGGTTGCAATGGATACAACAAATTAAAAGCTCGTTTCTATTTTGAAGCATGCATTTAGGCAAAAATTGATTTGTTTTATATTATTTTGTGTCTTTCAAACAACTGACATTTAAAGATAAACGTTCTACTTTTGTTTAAAAGTAAAAATTAATTATAGACCAATCTATGACTACTGATTTTTGAATTTTGTGCAAAACGCTTAAAAGTTTAAACTTACAACCGGCGTCTACAAATCCGTCTGCAGCACCTTTCTAACCACGTCATCACGCTCCACTAGCGCGCACATTGGACGCTCATGATCAAGCACTAGTATCATCTCTTCACCCTCAATCGTGGACGCGCGCACCGTTGTGCGTCCATTCGGCTGCAGTGTCACAGTGGTGATGCCAGCGGTGCTATCTGTGGATGCCGTTGTAGTTGCCAACAGCAGAGCAGACGCTTTCTCGCCCACCGCTGGCGCTATGGTTGTCGAAGAAGTAGTAACCGACGAACTGTTATTTGCGCCTGTTGTTGCTATACAATGTGGCTCATTTTCGTTAGCGTTGAACAGACGAGTCTGCCGATGTTTGCTGTTGCTCTGTTTTGCCAACAAACTCGGCTCGGCCTGCAGTTGAGCGTTGACTTCATGATTAGTCATACAAGTGAAAGCTTTGTAAAAGCTCTTACGAAAGTTGTCACTAAGGAAGGCATAGAGTATCGGATTTACAGCAGAGTTGGAGTAAACCAGACAGCAGAGTAGCAAGAAAATGAGTATTTCAAGTCGTGAGAGTTGACTTTGCATGGGATTAGAGTTGATGAGCGCCACCTGTGATATCCAATACGGCAGCCAACAGCATATATAAACAGTAATGACGGTAAGCACAAGGCGCGTCACCTTGCGGTGCGAACGCTTCTTCTCCTTCGACTTGTGCTTCGAGCCGACCGCATGTAGCTTACGTATGACCAAACAGTAAAAACATAAAATGAAACTGAGTGGCGTGGCGAAACCAAGAAAGAATGTGTAAAGCGTAAAGGTGGTCGCCGAATGCCTTTTATACGTTTCGGGCCATTCTATATTACAAGAGAGATTCACGCCATCCTCTTGACTAACAGTGCTCGCATAGAGTATGACTGGCAGCATTAGTACAGCTGAGGTCAGCCATGCTATGGCCGATACAATCTTAGCGATGCGTTGTGTGCGGTATTTCGTTGAGGCGATCGGATGACAAACTGCGAGATAACGATCAGCAGACATTATCAGTAGAAAGATGGATGACGTGAACTGTGTAATCGAAGTGCTAACCATATAAGCTTTACACATGTAATCGCCAAAGCGCCAACTACAAATACGCATGGTATACAATAAAAACGGTATACCGATGAGAAAGCACTCGTCGGCGATCGCCAAATTGAGTAAGTAGATATTCGTCACTGTTTGCATTTTCGAAAAGCGCACCACGACATAAATGACGAGCGTATTACCAAAGATGCCGATAAGGCATACGAGCGAGTAGAGTATAAGAGTGGCCAGATCGGCGAGTGAATTACGATGTGCCATGCAGTGTTCATAGAAAGTGCGTCTGCGTTGTGAATGTCGGCCGGTCAGAGCTGCATGAGCGTGAGAACTATTGTTTGCCGCTGACATGCTAGTGGTATTACGTATATTTCGTGGCGTTACAGTGCGTATATCGGTCCACATTTGCTGCGCGCTTGACTGCGGACTCGGCGTTACAGTATTTATGATTTTTATTTCCGTAGTACTCATCACACGCGTCACTGTACTGCTGCCTGGCCAAATTGTCGTCAGCGCTTCCGCTTTGTCGCGCTCATTTATTTTATCGCCCTCAATCTTTTCACCCCCCTCAGCTGTCATGCGTGCCGTTGCCTCACCTGCTGTTTGCATGCAATTAAATAACAACAATGAGCTGCTAAAGATGATCAATGTTATGCTATTCACCGTCACCGTCGTTGGTAGTCGTTGCCGCCACATTTTTGTGGTATCGAATTTCGTTAAGGGCTTTGCACTTGACTGATTTGCTGCCGATGGACAGTTGACAGCTGTCAGTTGAGTTTTATGCTTTTACGCTTTAATAATGTATGTCTTGTTGTTGGCTATTAAAAGCTTCGCAAGTTATTTATTCGTTTAAGTGATTTTAATATTTTCCTGTATGTAAGCATGTACACTTTGTGGTTCAATGAGGCGTGGCTGTATATTGACCTGCAAGTAAAATATTAAATTGAAAATTTATAAAATAATATAGTACTTGTTGAGGTTAGTGAAGCATAACTTTAGACTTATATTATATAGTGTACAAAGACATATTCTTATATATTTTATATTCTCTCTTTAAGTTAACTATTACTATAGGGACACGCAATGCTTCAAAAAGATTAATGTTTAAGATTTGTCACTTAGAATTATCCTTAATTTTCTGAATGAAAGCGTTCAAGCGTTAGCTATTAAAGTTTTTCGCCTAAAGGTATGCTATAGTAATCAAACTTTTACATATTTGGTTAAAATATAATTTTGGTGTTGATTTTATAATTGAATATTCATGAGAAGAGTGAGGAAATTTATTTAATGATAAAATGCGTTTAGATTACATCTCTAAAGGTGACCCCTTTAAATGTCATTTTAGCTTCGTTTTAGTGAAATCTACGGTTTGCGAAGAAGACCGAAGTTGGTGATCCTAAAAGTATGCCGAAGTAAGTCGAAAGAAGCTGCGAGAACCGCTCACTTGCTTTAATAATTTCTAAAACGGATATCTTGTTTTGAAGACAAGCCACTTAAATGTATATAATTTCTCTAGGTTATGAATTTCGCATGGAGAAACAAAAACAAACAACTTGGTATGGATATAACAGACTTACGTGCGAATATACAAACTAACTGTTATACAAATATATTTACATTTCGAAAATTGCAATGAATTTGTTGATACACTTTTGTAGGTATATGTATGGCTGTTTGTATGCAAAAGTATTTACTCTGAAGCATAAATTCATATTAATTTATTTGCGTAAATGAAAATCTCTCAATTAATGGATATAAATAAGTAAATATGCAAAAATGCATTAAGGTAGAAACGCTTGAATTTATACTAGAGCTATGCAAATGCGTGTATATGCTTTTAGGCGTATGCCAATGGAAGTGAATTCAGCGATTTGAATCATAAAATATTACAAAACATACATATACATATTTATATATAACTATGTTTACCTAGAAATGTGCATAATTTCTTCGAAAATATGGCTGATTGTTTTTTGCACATTGTTAACTATACATTACATACATATAGGCGCATATGCGACGCGAAGTAATTTCTATAATTAAAAAACCTACTGCAGCATGGTTTACGTAACGCAATTATCAAGCCCGCCTGTGTGTACGCTTGCCGTAAACAACAACACATTATACACTTTGAGAAGAGACTCTAATCGATTTGCTGGAAATGATTTTCAAACTTATTTATACGGGCAATAAATTTTCAACCCCACAATTACTATGAAAATCCGATTATCGCAACCATTGGCGCCTCGATTTATGCTTCGTGCGTCATTTAATCTGCAGTTGCATATCTTTAGGCGCTTAAGCAATTTTAAATGCTTTTATTTAAGCGTTTGCAGTCATGAAATATCTTTAAACTCTATGCCTCACAATAGGCTTTTTTGCAATTCATTGCGCCCGCTTCATCGTCACCTAGTTAAGCGTGGCACATATGCGCCTAAAAGCACACAAACGCCAAGTAGTATGCAAAAATTCAAAGCAAACTTGTCAGCTACACACGTTTAGCAATGTCAGGTATTAATTGTAGTCGACCCCAACTCTGATGATTTAATTTGCCTCAAATTTATTTGTGGCTTCGGTGTATTTGTGAGGTCACGAGCAGTTCGTTAAACTTTGTGGTGAAAATTTTATACACTTGCGTATAAATCTAATGCAAACAATTCACTGTAAAGTGTTTGCTTATTATTTGCGCACTTCAGTCGGTGTGTATGCCCATTGGCGCCGTTGTCTGTGCCAGTGACACGCAGTTTCGTTTCCATTTACCCGAATAAATGTAGCCGCTCAACGTGAGCTTTTGTGCTTAAAAGCCGCTCACTAGTAAATGCAAACAAATAAATGTGCGCACCCATACAGACGTGCAATTTAACATCCATATACATTTAATATAGATAAATGTGTTTGTATATAAATTTTAAATATTCTTAGCGCCAACATGGCAAACAAACTCGTACGGTTATGTATTTTAAATCACCCAGTTACTAGTTCAAAGTGAATGCTAAATGGGAAAGTGTATACAAGAAGAGTTGTCCAGAAGGATTTCCAAAAAAAGGTGTTCGGGTGTCAACTAGATCGTTTATTTATTTGAGAACGTTTTAATAAAATATGAATAAAAGTTTAATTTGCAATGTCACCGGGTAAAATTTAGTTAGACCAAGGAGATGGTCCGCGATGCTCAAATTTTGGCCTGTTTAATGAGTAGTCACATCGAGCTTTTAGAGTTGTGAAAGACCACGTTTAAGTAAGATAAATGTATAAAAATTTTCAGCCAAAATTATGTTTAACTTTTTCAGTATTAGCTGCAAATACAGGTTATTCAGATTTTTGGCCTAAAGGTATGCTTTAATAATTTAATTTTCTTTATTTTTTGTTAGCTTTTGCTGCAGATGTAGAGAGATTTTTAAGTTACATGGCATTTGTTCATTGCTGATATTAGAATATTCCGCGGAAAGCAAAGGAGAGGCTTTAATTCGGGGTTTCGATTTTGCTTAAGTCAAAAGGTTAATATCGTCAATCGTGAAAAACCACCTACGAAAGATACTGACCTGTTTAATAGTTAGTCTTTGCTACATATCTCAGTACATTTCCGTAAAAAGGTTTTCAGAATGACAAATATACTTTTTTCAGGTGTCATTGAAAAAAAGTTTGTTAATATGGTAGTTAAGTCTCTCGTAAGCATGTGTATTCATCGATGCCTAACTCAACCACTTTCGAACTGGCCGCATGTGCCTTCGATTTTCTGCCAGAATTTTCCGCGTTCACAAACACACATGCACACGCGGCACTCAATCACTATTTGCGTGAATAGTCAAATGCAAATAACTCACAATGCGCTCCAAAATGTGTGCCACAAACCACATACACGTGCGCATTACAAACACAAACACACACATATATATATATATGATATACGTAGGTGAATTTTATTTGCTTTCTTCACTTGCTTGTCGCCTGCTCACTCGTCGTGCATTGCCAAGCAAAATTATATCGTTTTGCCATCATGAGTATTCTTGTGTATGTGTGTGTGTGATTCTAGGAAATGAGTTGCTACTTTCTGCTGGCATTTCGGTTGACTTCACTTCCGTTGCTCTACTTGAATTTAAAGCATTGCCACGTGCACTACGATGACACAAACATATGCGTTTGCCATGATGCTCCTTAGCTACATGACAACAAACACGTTAGCTGATATAAGCGCTATGGTTGTTGTATAAATAAGTTGATTTTAATATTAAATGACGTTCAATTGAATTTCGGGTATTGTGTGCTGGTTTAGGGAAATTGACACAAGCGAGGCAGACGATGACCAGGGTGAAGAGTACACGATGGGAGGCGATCTGCTGTGACACGTTTCACCATATTAAAGTATTTACTTCAAGCGAAGTGAGTAAAATAGATTTAGATGAAACTGATTTAACCGCACCTCTCACTTCATTTTATTTACTGTTTCCAAGATAAATTGCTTTTCAAAATGGAAGTGAGCGGATCAATCATATTTCAAGAGCCTTAACAAACTACCAATAGAATTTCAGATTCATTTTTCAATCTTCATTCAATCTTTTATTGAATAACAATATTCGGACTAGGGAAATTGTAATGTATAGGTTTTTTGTGTAGTAACGACTCTGCCATTAATTTATAGCTGTCTTACCTCTCTCTCTCTCTCTCTTTTTTCTCCCTGAATTTATTATTTAAAATAGCTGTTTTATGAACTGCCTAATATGCTCGTATCTGTTTGGGAAATTTTTTGAAAAAAGTATTGAAAAATGTATGGGATTGGCACTAAAGTTCGACAGTGTGGGTAACCATGAACTCATTGCACTCGATTAGAGTTATCGTCCTCTTGCAAATTATATAGACTTTATTCCAACCTCTATTTCCCTAAGTTCCTACAAGATTGCAGGATAAATTAATAGTTACAACAAATTAACCCAATGGCAGTTACCCAAATTTATTGTTATTGTAACTGTCAGCGTGTGTTTCAGTATTGGTGGCAGCACTTTGCACTGAATGCAATTTATATGATTGTCTTGAGCGTGTTTTTGTTATTTATATATGCCATTTGAGCTTTAACGAGATGTCTTAGTTGCTACAATTGCAAAGCTGAGCTTGTTTGTATTGTTGTTGCAAAAGCGCAATTCCCTCAACGCTTTTGTTTTGCGCACTAAACGCCGATTGCTTTCAATTGCCCGACGAGCACTTTCAATTGGTTACGAAATTTATACAATTTAACGGTACTAAATTGCAGCAGCTAACGGTAGTGGCATTACCGGAAATCAGAGTGGCAGCAACAACGTAACGGTATGTTGCATTGCGGTACTTGTGAACGCATTAAGTTGCCAATTTGTACAAATGTTCGGCGATAAATGGCAATTGGAAATCGTATTTTGCATATGTTGTTGTTGTTGTTCTTGTTGCAGTACTACACCCGTAACCGCAATGGTGGCAAAAATGCCCGAACCAATATGCAAACAAACACACAATCGAAATTGTAATGCGAATTGATGTTAGTGGTGTGTAACTGTGTATGTGTGTGTGGCAGTGCTTGCAACGTGCAACGTGGAGGCACGGCGACATGTAAGTGCCAATCAAGTGACAACAAAAACCAGTAGCGATAAAAACAATAAAATGTCATTATAGCAACAAAAAATGCGACAAAAAGAATTAGAACAACAAAAAGAGTTACAACAAAAATAACACGCACTGTGTTACAAATAGCAGCGAAATGGCCAAAAATATTTTTTTATATAAATTGTTGTATTTTTTTTTGTTTTGACACGAACTTGGAAACCAAATCACATCGATATTGCAACATTATTTTTGTTGCAACAGCTGATGTTTTTGCGTGCTTGCTCGCGTAAGTGTTGCGGCAAATGGCAGGCAAACAAATAAACAAATCGAATTGCAAGTGATGGTCATTGAAATGGCAG